CCCCAAAACCCCAAAACCCCAAAACCCCTTTTGTTATGGTCCTAATTGTTTATAGATAATTTGTGAAAATGGGATGAGCAGGTAGTAAGAAATACTACGTTTCAAGCAACAAAGCTGCTCACCTCGTCAAACTCCAGAAGGAGACTGAACGTGCTCTTCAGAAGAAAGCTGATATTGGGCTATTACATGACTAAATCAGTTTAAATAAATGCTCATATAATAATATAGTGGTTGATAGTGCTTACCAACGAATTATACAACCGCAGAAAACTGATCTTTCTCTTTCAATTCGACTAGCAGGCGCTTCATCTAGCTTAAGAAGTGTCCTAGAGTCTCTGAATGACTCTGGGATGCTCTTTCAGTAAGATAAAGAGCCTTTCTGCTATTCAGACTGCAAAAGAAGGATTCATGTTATAATATGAAGAAGAAGGAAGCCAAGCGTGCTCGGATAAGAGAGCAAGCAGAGAAGAAGGTGGTGAAGGATATTGAGGAAAGTGGACAAGAGAGTTCATAAAGAACTAGATGTCTTTGGAATTTTAATGATACTGAAAGTAGGTACTCAGCAGTGGTGATGGCAAGGAGGATTACTGAGGGCCTTATGTATTAAGATATGCTTTAAGATATTGTACAAGAGAGAAAATAGAAGATTAAAGAAATTTGAGAGTTTTTGAAGATCGGGGAATTTTGTATAATCATAACGTCTTCCCACTAGTAAAAGATTTTCAATGGGAAGAGATCTAATAATGAAATAATTAGAAATTTATGATATCAAAGCCCTATTATGACCTTAAAATTTGACAAACAAATTCATTTCATTTCCTAAACTATACTTTTTCACAAAATTCAAAAACTAACTAAGTATTCTTTCTCTTCTTTATTACTATCAGCTACCTCCCTTTGACTCACATATCTTTTTATTTCTCTCTCCTCTACAAACTAAGCCTTTATAGAAACCTCCCAATTTCTCCCAGAGTCCCCACTTGGCTCACCCATTTTCCCTAAAATCCTATCTTACAGCTAATTCTTCAGCCGATGGGCAGCTTCTGTAGACCAACTTTAGGCTGAAAGGATACAGCTGAACTGGTGCAGAAGGAGGCAAGGTTGCATAGGGCTGGAAGGAGGTGGGAAGAGGGGAAGGAAAAAGGCTTTTATGAAAATAAAGGAGATTAAGGAGATGCTTTATCGATGTACTGGAAATTTGGTATTAGAGATCTATTGTTTATAAAAAACTCAAGGTTTAGTAATAAACCTCTCCAAAACCCATATCTCTTTTAAAAATACAACTACAACACCTCACTATACACCTCTCTTCATCCCCAAAATAGCCAAAATCTCACCTCAATGTCTCCATCTTGCTCTCCCCCAATGGCAAGTGACTTGCATCCCTTATAATTATTGTTTTTCACCTATTGAAAATTCTAACATTTGTACGTGAATCCCCTTAATTTAAGGTTGTAGCTCAAGGGGTTTTGGGGTTTTGGGGTTTTGGGGTTTTGGGGTTTTGGGGTTTTGGGG